GGGACCTTTCTGTGTGGAGTTTGCATGTTCTCCCCGTGCTTGCGTGGGTTCTCTCCGGGTACTCCGGCTTCCTCCCACAGTCCAAAGACATGCAGCTTAGGTTGATTGGTGTCTCTAAATTGCCCATAGGAGTGTATGTGTGGTTGTTCGTCTATGTGTTAGCCCTGCGATGGATTGGCGACCTGTCCAGGGTGTACCCCGCCTTTGCCCGATTGCCGGCCGGGATTGGCTCCGGCCCCACCTGTGACCCCGTTCAGGGACTAAGCGGTAGAAAATGAATGAATGCATGAATGTTATTTATTGCTGTACCGACTGGAGGTCACTTTAAATTTTCGTTGTACATGTTACACTGACAATAAAGGATTATCTTATCTTACACAGGCAGTTGACTATAGGGATGGGCATATCGATACTTCAATACCCGCCGGTCGATATTTTGGAGTCGATACCTTTTTAAATATTGCGATACCACTGTGCTAATACAAAACTTGCAATTTGTTTTCACTTCTGAGAGTTTTAGGTATTAAATTTATTTATGAAAACCAGCCTGGGCGTATTTTAGATGGTCTTCCGTGTCACATGATTATGGTAGCAGCCTATCAGATGTCAGAGCTGAAGGCTTACTGCACAGCCTCAGTCAAGCACTGCCTCAATCCTTTGCTGCTCAAAGTGAGCTCAGTCAGCAGGTTCACGACGTGGCAGCATGGCTGGCCGAGAGAGAAAAAGAAGTGTAGTGTGGTGCTATTTTTCACCCACGACCAAAGGTAATGCCATGTGCTCCGCCCACAATAAAGTGGTGCCACATAGCAGCAACACTAGCAACCTCTTTAAGCATTTAAAGACAATGCACCCTGACACTTTTAAAGAAGCTGAACATCACCATGAAGACAAACCAGCAAGCCTCAAAGTCCCCTGCACTCAGAAAACATTGCAGGAGAGTTTTATGAAAGGCAAAGAATATCCAGGCACAAATGATTTAAAAATTGACCGAACCATTATCTTATTAAACTACCCCAAATATGCAAATGAGTTACATGAATCTTGGATGAAGCCACATTCCCCATTCTTTCATTTAGTTGACAAACGTAAAGGTTCATATGCTTGTACTGTATGTATCAGAAAATATTGACAAACAGTTTTGTTTCTAGAATGTTATTAATGGAAGTAATTTTCCTTTAAGGGGCAAAAAGTATTGGTATCGATGGAAAAAGTACCATAAACTAATGGCATAATATCGAAAGGAAAAATGTTGGTATTGCCCATCTGTCAGGTTTGCTCGGCTACACCTGCCTTTTTTCACTTCTTCTGTCTTAGCTCACTCCACCTCACACACCTGCCACCCGTTTCCTTAATTACCACCAGCTGCATTCACTCAGTCCCCCACCTTATTTACACCCGGCTCACTTTTTGCTCCCTGCCAGTTCATTCTCGTTTTCAGGCTATTCTCTTTGTCCTCGCCATAGATTACTATTTCGTTGTTGTTTTGCCTTAATCTGGTACCCGTTTGTTATTCCCCTGGACTTCCATTCGTTACCTCTTCTAGCCAGCTCCTATTCTCTGCATGGACTGTTTCCTCCGGACTTTGGCTCCACTCTACCCTCCCAGACAGGTCGATGCACAGTCACCATTTTGTCTGTCAGTTCCAACGCCTCTGTTTTTTTTCAGTTGCCACCATCACCCACCAACCAGCCCAGAAGTGACCCTGCCCGGCCCACCTCATCTATCTTCACCTCCTGCTGCTGGTCGACACCCGGTCACTCATATCATTCATTATCCACGTACTTGTTGTTTTGTCTATACACTGCACTGTAAATAATAAACCGTAGCTTGCACCGAAGTCAGCTACCTGGGTTCGCCTCTCATTACCAGTCGCTCACTTCAGTGTGCGAACGTGTTCTAACAGAATGAACCGGGCAATATGGACCCTGCCGACTCCGGTGCAAGCAGACGAACGGACGAACCCATGGAGTTAGGGTGTACCCGTCTAACCCCTAAAGAACGGGCCTGCCCCATCCGCACTGGGTCCTGCTTGTACTGTGGGGATCTGAAGCATCACCTCACTGCCTCCCCGATGCAGCCAAAAGAGCGAGCCCGCCAGTGAGAGTGGGGACACTGACGCGCCGTCCCTCCACCTCCACCAGGCCGGGTACCAGCTGCCTTCTCCCCGTGCTCCTGGAGACAGCTGGCCAGACGTCCTCAAACCAAGCCCTACTGGACTACGGAGCCGGGGGTAATCTTATGGACCCGGCCCTGGTGGAGCAGCTAGGCCTCACCCTTGAACGTCTCCCCCATGCCATTAAGCCCCGGGCTATCAACAGCCGGCTGCTGACCCACATTACTCACCGCACCCCGCCACTTCAACTCACCATAGCCAGAAATCACCATGAGGACATCTGTTTTAACATCTTCTCCGGTCCGGACACATCCCTGGTTTTGGGTCACTCCTGGCTGGTCCAACACAACCCCTCTGTGGATTTGACTACCGGTACCATCACACAGTGGAGTCCCAACTGTGCATCTACCTGTCTTCTGGCTGGACAACCTACTACATCATCTCCTCCTGCACCTCCAGAACTGCCGGAGTTATCCATCGTTCCATCAGAATACCATGACCTGCAACAGGTGTTCAGTAAACACCTGGCCACTGACTCTCTTCCACCCCATAGGCCATATGACTGTACTATCGACCTGTATCCTGGGAGCCACCTTGCCCAATAGTCTTCTTCATCTCTAAACCCGAATGACAGGCTCTGGAGGAGTACATTGAAACCGCCCAACGTGCAGGTATGATCCGTCCTCCTTCCTCATCCCTGGGTGCAGGGTTCTTTTTTGTGGGGAAGAAGGATGGTGGCCTCCATCCATGCATTGATTACCGTGGATTGAATGCTATCACTATCAAAAATAAATATCCATTGCCCCTTTTGTCCTCTGCTTTTGAGTCTCTCCAGGGTGGACAACCTACTACATCATCTCCTCCTGCACCTCCAGAACTGCCGGAGTTATCCATCGTTCCATCAGAATACCATGACCTGCAACAGGTGTTCAGTAAACACCTGGCCACTGACTCTCTTCCACCCCATAGGCCATATGACTGTACTATCGACCTGTATCCTGGGAGCCACCTTGCCCAATAGTCTTCTTCATCTCTAAACCCGAATGACAGGCTCTGGAGGAGTACATTGAAACCGCCCAACGTGCAGGTATGATCCGTCCTCCTTCCTCATCCCTGGGTGCAGGGTTCTTTTTTGTGGGGAAGAAGGATGGTGGCCTCCATCCATGCATTGATTACCGTGGATTGAATGCTATCACTATCAAAAATAAATATCCATTGCCCCTTTTGTCCTCTGCTTTTGAGTCTCTCCAGGGTGCCTACCATCTCATGCATATCCGTGAGGGCAATGAGTGGAAGACTGCCTTCAAGACCCCGCTTGGGCACTTTAAATATCACTATCGACCTGTATCCTGGGAGCCACCTTGCCCAATAGTCTTCTTCATCTCTAAACCCGAATGACAGGCTCTGGAGGAGTACATTGAAACCGCCCAACGTGCAGGTATGATCCGTCCTCCTTCCTCATCCCTGGGTGCAGGGTTCTTTTTTGTGGGGAAGAAGGATGGTGGCCTCCATCCATGCATTGATTACCGTGGATTGAATGCTATCACTATCAAAAATAAATATCCATTGCCCCTTTTGTCCTCTGCTTTTGAGTCTCTCCAGGGTGCCTACCATCTCATGCATATCCGTGAGGGCAATGAGTGGAAGACTGCCTTCAAGACCCCGCTTGGGCACTTTAAATATCTGGTGATGCCTTTTGGCCTCACCAATGCCCCGGCGGTTTTCCAGGGGTTGATCAATGACATCCTCTGTGATTTCCTAGGCCGTTTTGTTTTTGTTTTTGTTTATCTTGATGACATTCTCATTTATTCTTCCTCCCTTACGGAGAACATCCAACACGTCCGTCACGTCCTTCTTCAACTCCTGGAAAACCGCCTTTATGTTAAAGCAGAGAAGTGTGTCTTCCACTCCCCCTCCATGGCATTCCTAGGGTTCATCATAGAACAGGGAAGACTCCATGCCAATCCATCCAAAATCACTGCTGTCACCAATTGGCCTACCCCCACCTGTGTGAAGGACCTGCAACGCTTCCTGGGCTTTGCAAAGTTCTACCGCCATTTCATCAAGAATTACAGCACCATTGCAGCCCCCCTCACACAACTCACATCCACCAAGGTGAAGTTTGCATGGTCCAGCTGGAACAGGAACCCGATCCTGGGGTTGGACCACCAGATAGATTATACGTCTCCTCAGGCTGCTAGGGCCCAGACCCTCGACTGGGCTCACGCCTCTTGGCTAGCATGCCATCCGGGGGTACAATGTACCATTTCCTTCCTGAGATGTTACTTCTGGTGGCCCACCCTAGAGAAAGATGCCAGGGAGTACGTAGCAGCCTGTGCTTCTTGTGTGCAATCAAAACCCCTCCATCAGTCACCTGTGGGTCTCCTTCGGCTGCTTACTACACCTAGCTGGCCCTGGTCTCACATCACCCTAGATTTTGTAACTGGGCTTCCTCCCTCCCAAGGCAACACAATCATTCTCACCATAGTCGACCATTTTTCTAAGGCAGCTCATTTTCTCGCCCTTCCACAACTCCACACTGCACTCAAAACTGCCCAGCTCCTGGTTCAACACGTCTTCCGTATCCACGGCACCCCCATAGATATTGTGCAGCCTTTTTTCACTTCTTCTGTCTTAGCTCACTCCACCTCACACACCTGCCACCTGTTTCCTTAATTATCACCAGCTGCATTCACTCAGTCCCCCACCTTATTTATACCCGGCTCACTTTTTGCTCCCTGCCAGTTCGTTCTCGTTTTCAGGCTATTCTCTTTGTCCTCGCCATAGATGACTATTTTGTTGTTGTTTTGCCTTAATCTGATACCCGTTTATTATCCCCCTGGACTTCCATTCATTACCTCTTCTAGCCAGCTTCTATTCTCTGCACTGACTGTTTTCTCCAGACTTTGGCTCCACTCTACCCTCCCAGACAAGTCGATGCACAGTCACCATTTTGTCTGTCAGTTCCAACGCCTCTGTTTTTTTTCTAGTAGTCACCATCACCCACCAACCAGCCCAGGAGTGACCCTGTGACACAGCTCGGCCCACCTCATCTATCTTCACCTCCTGCTGCTGGTCGACACCCGATCACTCATATCATTCACTATCCACGTACTTGTTGTTTTGTCTATACACTGCACTGTAAATAATAAACCGTAGCTTGCACCGAAGTCGGCTACCTGGGTTCACCTCTCATTACCGGTCGCTCACTGCAAAAAATCAAGATGGCAGCTGCTGAATTCATGATATTTTGCTTTCACTTTTGCATAGTGGAGGGAAGTGGTCATGCAATGTCTATGGTATACAGTCAATGGTCAGAGCAGAGAAGAATGAGAGCCACAAGTAAAACCTTTACTTTGTCTACTGTGCCTACCCGCATAGTAACACTGATTGCGCTATTCATATTGCCTTTGTAGAGCCAGCCATGTTTAGACACTCCTCCCTTTTGAGATCCAAGGCAGGCTGTGTCCTGCAGAAGGAGGAGCAAAGAGAATTACATACATGCATTTATATCTACATACTGTAAATCTTCTGAATGTCCTAGAGGCCAGTGAAAGGAAAGGTCTGCATTTACTGTCTGTTCTGTCCCAGGAAGAATCCTTTTCATTACTGTAAAATCAACACTGTACTTTTTAATCTCAGGGGATTTCAGCCTTGAAAGTGTGTGCATTAAAGGTCACTGGCTTTCAGTTAAATCAAGGCCTGAAGGCAGGTAATTACTGGGAAGGGATGCACCCATAAAGTGCTACAAATGTCATGAAAATGTTAGGAATTCTGAGAAACTGCATGGGCCTAGAACATTGAAGAGCACATCCTAAAATTGGCTTGTAACAGAGGAGTGAAATAAATAAATGAATACAGTGTTGGCCCATAAATTAAAATAGTGTTTGTAACTCTGTTACATAACCTCATAACTGATTTTCTGTTGATTGATGCCTAGAGGAAGGTTGAACTTGAACATGAGAAGGTAATGGAATAAACAGGTTTCCTAAAGGCAGAGGAGAGAAATAAAGGATTTGTGGCCTCACTTCATCCTTTTCCACATCTTCATCCACCTCAAAAAGGTGGGCTGCCAGTTTCCCTTACTGAAACAAAAGAGAAAAGATAACAGACCTGACTTACTTAGCTCAGTATGGACACATCACATAAGAATATTAATATAATAACTGGAGAAGATCAATACTGACCTTATATTTGTATACTAAATATGAAGACAGGAGACAATTAGCTTAGCTTTGATTAGTTCAAGGCATCTGCTCCCAAAAAGCACAAAATGCTAAACAATTTTTTTTAATTTCAAGGCTGCATAGGAATGCTGCTAGCTTTACAAGATACAGATGAAGTACTGCAGCTGCTTTTCTAGGTGCAGCTCAAACCCCAGATGGACGGTTTGCCCTTTGACCTTTTGAAGGCCTAGCCTGTCCTGTCCTAACCCTATGTAAGTCCAGGTCAAGGCCAGAGCTTTTCTAGATTTCACTCTACAATGTTTAAAACCTAACACACAACATCTGTGAAGCCTATTCCTGTTCTTAAGGAAAGTGGCTTGACCAGGCTTTGAAACATAGTGTTATGCAGTGACTGTTAGGTGAACATTCGCTGATTGTTAAAAGCTCTTCTTTCACTGTTGCTGGGCATTATGGGAAATGAAAAAAATAGTCCACCCCCAAATCATCTTAACACTGGGACCACAGTCTGATGATGGACTTGTCAGGAAAATGGTCTAAACACCTCTCAACAGCTGCTATAACCCCTCCTGACAAATGCATTATCTGTGGGATACACAACATGCACTCACGCTGGGAGCTGACGAAAGTCTCCAGAATATTCTTCGTACTTGTAACTGACCACATGCCAGTCGGACTGGTAAGTTTTGATACACTGCAAAGACAGAAAGACAAGAGGGGTGGAGGGGACATTTTAACAAGAGCAACTAGTAACCCGGGACTGTATGTTTGTGACTTCATTATAATATATGTTTTATTGCTATGCTTGTGCCTTGAAAACTGAGTTCTTTTTGGAAAGTGTGAATGGTTTAAAATCTGTATTAAATATATAGCTGTAGTAGCCCCTTTGAGGAGTTTGTGAGACCTTTCTGTGGTAACAGCTATACAGTGCCTTGCGAAAGTATTCGGCCCCCTTGAACTTTGTGACCTTTTGCCACATTTCAGGCTTCAAACATAAAGATATAAAACTGTAATTTTTTGTGAAGAATCAACAACAAGTGGGACACAATCATGAAGTGGAACGAAATTTATTGGATATTTCAAACTTTTTTAACAAATAAAAAACTGAAAAATTGGGCATGCAAAATTATTCAGCCCCCTTAAGTTAATACTTTGTAGCACCACCTTTTGCTGCGATTACAGCTGTAAGTCACTTGGGGTATGTCTCTATCAGTTTTGCACATCAAGAGACTTAAATTTTGCCCATTCCTCCTTGCAAAACAGCTCGAGCTCAGTGAGGTTGGATGGAGAGCATTTGTGAACAGCAGTTTTCAGTTCTTTCCACAGATTCTCGAGTGGATTCAGGTCTGGACTTTGACTTGGCCATTCTAACACCTGGATATGTTTAGTTTTGAACCATTCCATTGTAGATTTTGCTTTATGTTTTGGATCATTGTCTTGTTGGAAGACAAATCTCCGTCCCAGTCTCAGGTCGTTTGCAGACTCCATCAGGTTTCCTTCCAGAATGGTCCTGTATTTGGCTCCATCCATCTTCCCATCAAGTTTAACCATCTTCCCTGTCCCTGCTGAAGAAAAGCAGGCCCAAACCAGGATGCTGCCACCACCATGTTTGACAATGGGGATGGTGTGTTCAGGGTGATGAGCTGTGTTGCTTTTACGCCAAACATAACGTTTTGCATTGTTGCCAAAAAGTTCGATTTTGGTTTCATCTGACCAGAGCACCTTCTTCCACATGTTTGGTGTGTCTCCCAGGTGGCTTGTGGCAAACTTTAAACGACACTTTTTATGGATATCTTTAAGAAATGGCTTTCTTCTTGCCACTCTTCCATAAAGGCCAGATTTGTGCAGTATACGACTGATTGTTGTCCTATGGACAGAGTCTCCCACCTCAGCTGTAGATCTCTGCAGTTCATCCAGAGTGATCATGGGCCTCTTGGCTGCATCTCTGATCAGTCTTCTCCTTGTATGAGCTGAAAGTTTAGAGGGACGGCCAGGTCTTGGTAGATTTGCAGTGGTCTGATACTCCTTCCATTTCAATATTATCGCTTGCACAGTGCTCCTTGGGATGTTTAAAGCTTGGGAAATCTTTTTGTATCCAAATCCGGCTTTAAACTTCTCCACAACAGTATCTCGGACCTGCCTGGTGTGTTCCTTGTTCTTCATGATGCTCTCTGCGCTTTAAACAGACCTCTGAGACTATCACAGTGCAGGTGCATTTATACGGAGACTTGATTACACACAGGTGGATTCTATTTATCATCATTAGTCATTTAGGTCAACATTGGATCATTCAGAGATCCTCACTGAACTTCTGGAGAGAGTTTGCTGCACTGAAAGTAAAGGGGCTGAATAATTTTGCACGCCCAATTATTCAGTTTTTTATTTGTTAAAAAAGTTTGAAATATCCAATAAATTTCGTTCCACTTCATGATTGTGTCCCACTTGTTGTTGATTCTTCACAAAAAAATACAGTTTTATATCTTTATGTCTGAAGCCTGAAATGTGGCAAAAGGTCGCAAAGTTCAAGGGGGCCGAATACTTTCGCAAGGCACTGTAGTTACATAGTCCTCCATTGTACATAATGTATTGGAGAGGACTTAAATTACAAGATGACCAGGTGGTAACTGCAAGTATTACTGAGGTGCAGTACAGTATGTGATCAGAACAAGACTAAAATCATGAACTGCTACAGTTAATACTGGAAATAAATCTTGTCCCAATGGAGCTTTCCTTTATAATTTTGCAATTCAGACATCTATTGATTCTTTTCATAAATGTCATAAAACAAACTGCTGTTCGAGCTAATGAAGTTGCCCAGAAGTTTGCAAGTGTTTTTGAGGAATTCTTTTGTCTAAAAATGCTTCAGTCATCCTACAGACAGGAGAGGAGAAACAGGACACATAATGATAGCAAACACCACTAGTAAAAAGGACTTAGACTTGTCTATGCTTTGAAGCACACTCCAAGCACTTTCACGCTCTCACACAAGTGGGACAGCCACTGGGAGCAACTTCAGGTTCAGTGCCTTGCCAAGGACACTTTGACACGTGGATTGGAGAAGCCAAGAACTCAAGCGCCAACCCTATGGTTAAGAAACAACCTCTCTGCAGCCTGTTTCACACAATCAGAATCTGAATCTGAATCTGAATCTTTTTTGGCCAAGCATGTTTAAACACACAAGGAAAATGATTCTGGTAGAGAGGCTCTCAATGTGCTTTAATGTGCAACAATAAATGACAAATTAAAAATAAAAGCAGCAGTGCGCCTTAGTTTCTCATTTTCCAATATGTTAAACAAATTCATAAAATACACATGGTGAGTGAGGTGAGGGGTTACTTCATGGTGGAAAAATAAATCCTGAAGCAGAACATCCCATCCCACAGAGAGAATAAGATGGGAGGTGGTGTGGCCTTGTACATAGATAAAAACGTTTGCTATAAGAAAGTCGAGAAAATGTCAAGGGCGGTAGATAACTTGCTGGAGTGTGTGACTGTAGAAATACTCGTGGAAAAAAAGAAAAAGGTTGTAGTAAGCTGTATTTATAGAGCACCTGGAGCCTGCATAGAAAAATTTAATGACTGGATGGAAGAAAATTACTTGACAATAAGTCATAAATTAATGTTCATATGTGGTGACTTCAATATAGATTTGTTAAATCCTAACAAGCACACAGGAACTGAGGAGTTTATTAACACAATATATAGATGCAGTTTATACCCAAAAATTACAAAACCAAGTAGAGTAACAACCCAGCATGCAACACTAATAGATAATATATTTACCAATGTTACTGACAGCAAAATGACAAGTGGATTACTTATAAATGATATTAGTGATCATCTACCTGTATTTTTGGT